GGTCCCATTAACAAAATACTAAATATGGTTAAAATATTACACCAACCTTAATTTCGTATGATGTATCCTGAAATATTTTCATTTTTGATATATTTTATAATAGAGAATTTGTTCATTTCAACATCCAACGATGTTGAATGTTGACCATCTTAAACTATTATTAAGTGTTCCAGTATAGTATCAATGTGTAGTTCGATATTTTTCATAGATTGAAAATTAATATTAATGAGACATGTGACTTTATATAGTAATAGGACATAATATCGCGTAACACGTTTATATTGTCAAACTAATAGTATGATTATTCAATACCCCAATTAATTCATAAGATCTAATATTAATACATAGATTGATGGATTATGTTGTTAGCCAAGCACACTGGTAATAAATATGGAAATCATCACTTTTTAAAAAACAAATAGAACAAGATAAGAGAAAAGATATTTCTTATCAAGATCAGATTTTTTGCCTCACGTACCATATAGTAAAGTTATTAATTAATTAAAAATAGATAAGAAAAAAGGCATTTCTTGTCAATATCAGGTTTTTGTCCCATGTATCATATAGTAAATTATTAATAATTAAAAATACAAATATAAATAATTGTTTAATTGGAGAATGTTACGGAATAATAATTTGTAATATAATATTTTTGCCTGCATGATAATTAAAACACAACACGTTAATACCAGAATTAACATTAAATAGTAGCGTAATAATTGCTATATTTAACATCAATAAAGAATGATTTTATAGATATGGAGATGCGATAGAGAAGATATTTATTACATAAACTATCTGTTATTAATAATTCTAAATTATTTATATTGATTACAATAATCAATAGATGATTAAGACAAACTTGTTATAATGAGTCTTGTTATTCACCAAATCTAGTAACTATTATTTCTAACTTGATACAACCAGAAAGAGAAAATTGTTAAATATTTAGAATTCTTGGAACAAATTAAAATTGTAATTGTCATTATGAATGAAATACTAAATTAGTAATATGAATGCCATTGCCTCATTCTTTGTTGTTATTAAATAAATCAGATGACAAGTAAGGGAGTAGTTATAAAAAAAGACTTGTTGACCTTATAATTGTCTTTACCTAAACATTTATCTCGTTAGTTCATAGCAATTATAGCTGGAGAAACATTTATTAACGGTGTTGAAAATTGGGCTTATTAGACTGGAAAATTTTCAATATTGGCAATTTTCCCAACACTCAATGCTTATAAAAACAAATCAACACTAAAGAATTCAAAATTATGATACATGTTTGATTTATTAACAAAAAAAATTTATGGCGCAGGAAGGAGCAGAACAATCTTAGGCAGGAGGTTGGTTGGCATTTGGATATGGATATGTATTGGACATGTCCAAAATGTTAACCCAGATCTGCGTGATGCACATTAGACAATATCCAACATTCTCCAATACCGATCCTAATCCTAGGAAAGGTGTATTTGAAAAATGCTCACTTGCCGTTTTTAGAAATGTATTTTAAAATTTTCGAAATAATTATTTGTTATTAATATTAAGTAAAAGCAGCCAATGCGAAAGGTTTTATCCCTTGTATTGTAAGAATACAGCTTCAGCCTGGGAAAACATATAAGAGGGATATTCCTCCTTATCGATCTTTGGGTATCGGTCGGATAATTCACTCAAGATCTACAACTAATGATATCTATATTTATCCAATGATAAAAATCTGATCTGCCCGGAAATCGACCGAATCTGATGCAGCAAAAGCGACAATTTCACTTTAAAACAAGTAAATTGCACAACATACCCGACGGGAAACCAGATGATTTTAAAAAACAAACCCAGGAAATCGTCACGAAAATTCAACTAGCAAAAAAAAATAAAAAGGGTCACAACAAGTTCATTGAGTTTAGTATATAGTTATTATGAAGGTTTGAAAGAACAAAAAAAAATTATACAAGAAACTTCACTTCAATAGAAGTTACACAAGAATGAAAAAGATAGGATCAAAAATAGTAGAATCCTTTGAACTTGACAAAAAATACCAGAAATGACCGTCTTAAAGAAGATCATAAAGTCAATTTCCAATGATAACAACAAATTTACATTTCCTTACCATCATCTTCTTCATCATCCTCTCCTACACCATTTTCTTCCTATTTTCATCCATTTTATGATCAATTTGACCCGGAATGAGATGTCCAATTTGCTACATACTCAATCTGCAGAAGCAAATTCCGAACAATTGTATCCAGAAAAATTCAATCATATTCATCATAATACTGATATGGATGTGATAAGAACCGGATAATCACAATTATCACTTGTTTATTTCATTTTATTTCTTGAACAAAAAATGATGTTTTATTTATTTATTTTATATCACCACCACATACATCGAGAATTTTAATGAATTTGCAACAATGTCAATATTTATCACCAATGCTTGACCGTAAACTCTTTTGGTTTCCCTGAACAGTTTCGAGAGAGAATCTACACCAAGCTTAAACCCAAACTTCTATTCTAAACTAAGAGTTTAGAGTCACTCAACATTGACCACTATGATGAATCAACAGCCAGATATTGTAGATTTCGTGCCATTTGAAATTTATATTATTGCCAACATTAATATTCTAATGGTATCAATTAACCTCAACATTTCAAGTGAAGAAAAATCAAATTGATATTTATAGCTTGCTATTAATTAAAAAAAATAAGTGATATAATTTTTATGTTCATTATTTCTTTTTTATTATAAAGTGTTACATTGTTGAATTCATTTAGGATCAACATGTTTTCTCAATTAATGGAAATAATCAAGTGATGCTATTAATTACATAGGAGGAAGAGATTGTGACGAGATCTTTAGTTTTGTTTAAGATTGAATGAACAAAAATTATAATTCAACTCCAATAGCAACGGAAGGTGACTACCAAAAACATAATACACCTATTTACTATTACAATAAAATGAGTGCAATCCAACTTCTAAAAGGAAATTACCAAAATCAAGTGATTGTCGATTTTGATATAATACGAGTACAAACACTAGCCAGCTCTTTGGGACAACGAAAGATATAATTGATGATAAGGGGACTTTTCAATAGAAACGTGTATCTGAAATTTTGAAGAAAATGATCCGCATTTCATACAACCTTAAATGGAAATATCAAAAATTTATTAACCAACTTAAAGGATCTCTGCACAAAAGTATGTACTTACTTGATTTTGACCTGGAGACCCAGAAACACGTTTCTATTGAAAAGCCCCCATAAGATCCGACACTTGCATAACAAAACGGTTTGCAAGCTGGAAATTGGAAAACGTTGTGAAATTGTAGATTGCAAATATTTGGTTTGGCGACGTTTTTGAAAAAATGATTAGAACACGCCTTTGTTGCACATTTTCTTGTTCGTTAAAAAAACTGGAGGAAAAACTTCAACATTTACGTCTCTTAAGAAAAAGGATCGATAAGAATAAAAGAAATTTATAACAAAAAGCTGTTAAATTAACGCTCAAGAAAAAGAAGTAATAATGATAAAACCCAACAAAGGAAAAATCAATTGATGATGAAATACCAGAAATTAGTCGATCCAACTATCAAAAGCAACTCCAATCAAAATGCTCCAGACTAATAACAAAAATACCTACAAAAAATGAAATAAAAGAACTGTCACAAGATTAGAATATTTCTCGAGTTAAAATATAAAATAATTAATTATAAAATTTTTTTTATAAAGTAATATTTACATAAAATTTTACCAAATAATCTGCCTTGTAGTTCGCAAGTAAACTTGCCAAACACCCTTTTTTTACATACCCCCTTTTATTGATGTTTGGCAATTTATAATTGGGGAAGACCTTGAACAGAGGCAAAATCCACTGCAATAAAAGCTAGGTATCAATCATTTTAATAAAGTAAAATTAGTTTATTTCAATATTATTATATAATTGCAACAATTAATTATAAATTTTTTATAATTAAAGTGTTCAATTAATAATTGTTGGTAACGATGGATGTCAATTAAATAAAATTTTCAATTAAATAAATCAAACTTTTACCCGAGTCATCTTGGTCAAAGGTTTTTTACTTAAGTCAATGTTTTATTTCGTCATTTTGATTTAATGGCAATGAATTTGACGTAATTCTGATAACATTTTGTCAAAAAAATTAAACCAGCTTCTTCGATCCCTGCAAAACAAACTCAAGAGAGATTAGATACCGCAATCATTCTACGAGTTGAATTTGAATTCGTAGTCGGATTTTAAACAGTTAGTTTAACATTAAATTATTATTGTTGTTGTTTACAAACAAACAAATTCATTTTTGCGGGACAAGAACTGATCTTTACTAGAAGAAAAGAATTTTAAAGATGTTAAACATTAATCAATTTTAATAATAACAATGTCAATTATTGCAAAGAAGTCTGATCGATAGTTCATCGCCGTATAACAAACCACAAACGATGAGGTAATAAACAATTATTAATTATACAACCTCAATCAACCAACTATTTTGTTTATATTTGCCTTTCTTATCAATAACATAAACAAAACAAAACAAAACGGAATATACACTCACTCACGGAGTAATCTAGCTCAACTCCTGGACATACAGCCATTATTATGGGGAAATAATCCGGCAAACATATTTATAAATCAATATAAATAAATTCCAGTTTTTTTGGCTGAATTACAAGAGCAATTCTTATGGTCAACAATTAACTATAATCAGCAAATAATTTATAGATTAGAATGTTTAATATAACTTTTCTTGATAGTAGAATTAATACAACAAAAAAGACCAGTTAATATTAATATTGTGTTTATATTGTGCGTAAATTCAACCAATCAGAATTCAATATCCCAACACCCCAAAATTTTAAATTTCACATAGTTCCAATCTTCATATACAACATTTACAAGTAATAACAGGATTTCCTGGTAGAAATGAGATAAATACATGTGCGAACTTGGAAATTTTGATAAAAATATTTAAAAAATATAAAAATGAATATTAACAACAATAGAAATAATCAAAACGTTGCTAACATGGTACGATTGGGCCGAAATCATGGTCAGAACTTACCACGACAACACATTAACGTAAATAACATCGTTCCAAATGTCAACGTCTATGAAAGGACAGAAAATTATAATCTTAATATTGAATGGTTTTTAAAGGGTATTAACGGAGTGTCAGGTGCTTCTCAAGTGGACCACTCCGAAAAAAATATGGATGCTTACTATAACTCTGGAGAACAAAAGTTCAAGCTCTTTTAAGGCTGATTGCAGTTTCCGTGATATTACTTACCAACTTTATGCTTGGCTTAATTTAATTAAAATTTATATATGGATCAAGTGTTTCAAATCGGCCAATTAAATAATAAACAAGCAAAAAACGCAATATTTTTAGAAATTTCAGGAAAGAATTAATTGATTTTATATTTAAATTTAAATATATTTTCTTTTTATTTTCTTTTTCTTTTTTCTTTTTTCTTTTTCTTTTTCTTTTTCTTTTTCTTTTTCTTTTTCTTTTTCTTTTTCATCATTAATATTTTATTAGTAACGACATATAAAAGTATATTTTATTAGATAATGATATAATTTTTTTTTAAAAAAAAATTAAAATAAAAAATCAAAGAATAACTGTTTATCTAGAAATGCTAGGAATCTGGTATCATCATGATATATTTATTATTATTTACATTACATTGTTGTAAATATAAACCTATTTACAATGGACAAAATTTTCCTTTCCAAATTTAGGAATGTAATACGTACGATCTGTATAAAAAATGGTTATTATTATTATTATTGAAATCCTTTTCGATAAAATTTAAAATTAGAGAGTAATAATTAACAAATATTCATTAAAATTTCCAGTCGCCAAAACTATTCTGAAGAAGCGAAGGTCAATCAAAAGTCATAATTAGTTTCGAGTCCTTTCGACCTTCGCACAGTTGCAGAACTTTATATAGTTTTTGGAAACTGGCACTAATCATTCAAATCCACAATCACTCCCAACCAAATCTTCATTAGATTACAAGTAAAAATCTTATGTAATATTTTGTTGGGAAATGAAAAAGGTCTGATTATTTATTATAAATGATTATTCATACCATATTAGCAATAATAAATAAAGCACTAATTTAGAAAACTCACTCTTGATCAATTAATATTAAATTGTGACCAGTGTCGATAGTATATATTTTTGATGTCTAACGGACATGTCATGTCTGTCTGCGGTTGTCCATATTTGATTGGGTTGTACGATGGACTATGTAGATCAAAACTAATTAACCTAATAAACTTTTTTTCAACAATTATAAAAATAAAAATTGCATCTTCTCATTCAAAAAAAAAGATACAACTATAAAATTAAGTAATATTATAAAAAATGTAATGGTCCACATGATGACAGAGTGGTTTTTTTAATTTTATTAGTAAAATCATCCAAAATGTTAAAAAATACTGTTAAACTTTGAAACGTATAGGCTCAATAACCAAACAAGTTAGAGTAAAATAATTTCCATAGTTTTTTTCTCTGTGATTTAAAGAATATTCTGACAGAGAGTTTTTTTAAAAATTATTAGTAAAAAAAAGTTTATTAAAGAATTAAAGATGTACGATTTTATTAATAAAAATTTTTCGGTAATCATTTCCTTTTAAAGAAAACGTAAAGTATCTTTCATAATAATAATAAGAATTATAAGAAAAAGTCTTCGTGTTTAATAAAATATCGAAGCCCAATAAAAGAAAAAAGACTAATTCATAATGCACGTGCAGTCAAAAAAATGAAGATTATTGAACGAGAAAATAATGTTATTTAAGCATTTTCTTCAAAAGGAAAAGATTTTCGAAGGAAAAAAAGATCAATAAAATCGCATAACTTTGAATTCTTATAAATCCTTAATCTACTAAAAATTTTTAAAAAAACTTTCTATCAGGCTATTCTTTAAATCACAGAGAAAAAAACTATGGAAATTTTTTTACTCTGACTTGTTTGGTTATTGAGCCTATACGTTTCAAAGCTTAACAGTATTTTTAACATTTTGGATGATTTTACTAATAAAATTAAAAAAAA